AAACTACTAATTCAATTAATTTTTGAAGATAAATATATTAATATGATTAATAAAAATTATGCAAATATAAAATATTATGAGTACCGATGAGTGTTTTACACCTTTACACCTTACACCTTTTAGTAACGCTATCAAAATCGTTAGCAGGCTTTGGCTAGCCGCAAAAGACTTTTCTTTAACGGCAAAACATGTAGTGGAGAAGGTGCGGGCCATCGACAGCGGACATGACAAAACCTTAGAGCTGGTCAACACCACAATTTGTCTGTTGATCTTTGAAGGTAATCAATAAATCCTGACCTAATTGCATTAATAACAAAATCAGTTTCGAAACCTTTTCCACTTAACGGCAATTCATTGTAAAGAAAGATCGAGTTCTTTTTCTTCGGATATTCTTTTTGTTAATTTTTCCTTCACAGTTGCACTCTAAATCATCAACCCCTCTCCATAATTCTGACCATCACAGAGTGTAAGCATATCTTCATTATTGTGCATCTCTTTTGCCACTGCCGCGCTGATAAGCGTTCCCGATCCTTCGCCAATGTTTCAGCTTCGACGGAAGGCATCCTGGGTCTCGAGCATAGTCGGTCGATACACTTACCTCAGTCATTCTTCGTTGTCTTCCGGCTCTTCAGCCGATCGATTGAAGAAGTAGCAGTTGTTTTGCCTTTCTTTCTGGAAGCAGTCGCAAGACAGGCCTAATCAATCTCATCAGTGACTTCTCAGTGTGGAGAAGCAGCAGCTGCATACCAAGGCTTTCTCTGAAAGTTTATAAAACTTCAATCGCCCAAGCCGTGGAAAGTCTTCACGTTTCTTACGGTATTTCTGAATGCACGTTTTATTCTGTGAATTACTCACGTTTCGAACCATACTTAACCAATGGCAATAATAAACCGTACGCACATTCGAAATGTCGTTAGCTTATGTAATAAAATGTATGCGCTGAGCACTCCAGTAAGAACAATGAAAACCATGGAAATAGTCACCCAACAAAAAAGTAGAACATCAAATTTTTTAGCCTGGGAAAGGTGAAAAGATTGTACGCCGCCATGACTTCCACCTTCTGAACAGAAGATGATTTTCAGACGATTAATGTATCGAAATGCTCTGTTATCTGTTGTCCTGATCATTATCCGTCATTGTTTTCAGTGATTGTAAGTTGTAAGTTGCATATAAAGACTGATGAGTAATAGTTGGTCATTTCGTTGATCGTTTACCTTGTGATATATCTTAACAGTGCTTTGAAGCTTTGATACTGATTACCCTTTTTCTGATGATTTCAATATTTCTTCACTATTGAATCAAATCACACTTCCATTTTTAACAAACCAATATCCCTCTTATCATTGTCTTTCTCGCACTCCATGCATTTTTTAATTTTCTAGTCCATATGGCGATCTTGATGAAATACTGTCAATCAGAAAGTTTGCTTACGCATTTTTCATTCAGTCGCAAATTGTTACTCTGAACTAATACTTTTCAGGTAAGAACAGGATAATGCCGAGTCACTGATATAAGCTTTTGTGATAAGTCAGTCGGCTAAACAACCCATAACTTGACAATCAGTGAGGTAAAAAAATGAATATAATTGTGCATAGGGTGTAAACGGGTTGCTGTGCTGACCATAGAGTGGTAGACCTTTTCTTTACAAGCAGATCCTTTCTCACTGATAAGATTTCGCTATAACTTCATAAAGAGAAGTGCTTTATCGACCACACCTGAGTTATGACTCACATTGCCAAAAGTCTTTGTTTCAAAACGAAAATTCACATTGTGACTAGGAAAAAATCCTGAAGAAACTTCCACATGAAACTTTGGCTAATTTTTTGACCTTTCGCACAAGCGTTGCAGCTACGACGCCGATCGCCCTCGGACCTTGTCTTCCTCGTGCCTACGATGATTTATACCCGCATACAAAGTTCACAGACATCGCTCGAGGTTCAAAGTCCGCGATGCCGTGTCCATGCCCGTTTATCAGTGGCGCTTTGCGGATGCTGCTTTTGGTAAATAACTCAGTAGTGGGACCCTGCTGCATCAAAGCCAAACAACGCCATCGTGTTTTCCGACTCCTCCTTGAGGTCAGATGACGTCGTTCGATTGATGTAAACAATGTCTGAATGAGGTGGTGTTTCCGCGGTGGTTGGCATTGGCCGTGCAACGAGGCGAGCGGACGTTCGACTGGTGATCGGTGATTCCGACAAACAACTGACGTCGTCTGTTTACGAAAAGCTTTGACCCTTGCTCCGAATCCGAGGCTATTCATCGATATAGTGGCCTACTCACGTGTTTGCTCTTCGTTTATAAAGGACAATCGTATAAGCAAAGTCGATGCTGTTTTGCTCCTTGCAGCTTTGGCGTCGTCGTTGATCACCATGGCCAGCTCTTCTTCCGTCATTTCGTTCATTTGATACAGCTTCCAAACCACT